AACTTTTAGATCTTATATATCATAAAAACATTTTAACACCACATATTACTAAATATTTTTCAGATTTAATGGCATTTTTGCCCCTGAACAATTGAGGACGTGGTACATTCTATACTATCAATTTGGTCAATTTTGATCTTGAAGTGTCATATTTTTTACAAATATTGTCTCTCGGTTTGGTTTAACCATTATCATTGACCAAAATTTCATTTTTAAAAAAAAAATCAATTTTTGATGTTTTGAAATGAATTTTTTCACACGCGCTAATAAAAAATCAATTTTCTTTCCAAAATACTTTCAAAAAATTTTGACATCAAGAAGCATTTTTAAAATTTTCTTAAACATTAACTATTAATAAAATTGAAAAAAATAGAAATACTTTGGAATGATCCCAAATTTTATTGGGATATCTAAAAATATATATATAAATCTATTTGTTTCATCTTATTATGATTAATAAAATATTTGCACGGTCAAATACATAATACCTAATCAAACTTAAAGTATGTTAATTTTGAAAACCATATAAGTAAACATTTTGAGAATTGTACTAAAATTATCAATATAAGTTAACACGACCTCCTTGGAGCCTTAAAAAAAAAGATAATTCTAACTTATTTTCTATTTTTTATAATTTATAGAATTTTTATTATTCAAAAAATAAAAAATACTTTCAAATTCAATTTCTTTAAAAAAATTAGTTGCGAAAGTAGATTAAATTTTAATTAGTTTCTATATAAAAAAAATCAAATGAAACATCCAAAATTTGATTTTTTAAAGAATTTTTATCAACACTAAAATTCAATTCAAACGAGAAAACAATATTTGCTCAAACAATAATAATTTAAGATTACAATTAACCAAATTAATAGCATAGCATTCAGTTTACAACAACAATATTAATAATTAAAAACAAAAAAAATGCATTTAAAGTCAATTAAATAGAAGGATCCAATTGTGAAATTTCTGAAATGTTAATGATCCAATTAACAACTTTCTTTTTGGTGGGCGAAATTAAGAATTTGGCAATTACATTTGGGGCTAATTTGATAGTCTCTAAACTTTAATGCTCAACTAAGAAAAATCATGGCTAAATAGATCAAATCTTCTGTAATAACTTAGAAAAAAAGGGAGGGGGCTGGTATAAAAGGGGCAGCAACTGCCCCTTTTTTTCAGAATTTTTCTTTCTTTTCTCCTCCTCTCCCTTATGTGTTTTACCTTCCAAAATTTCTTTCGAATTCTTACTTCAATTCCTAAGCTAATTCCTTATTAAATTAACTTAGGAAAGCCTTACACAAGTTGATTTAAGTGGAGCTTAGCTAAATTGAAGCTTGAGAAGCTTAGAGAACTAGGAAGAACTTAAGGGTTGAAAGAAAAAGTGTAAAGGTGAGATTCTTAATCAATTGATCTTTAAATTAGAATGTTTATATATAATTGGTGATGACATTGAAGTTAAATTGCATTGGATGTTGTTTAAATGAGGAATTGACAAAATTAAGGTTAGGGTTCTTAACACTCGTTTAGGAAAAGATGATTCTAAGTGATTATAGATGCTTGAATAATGTCTAATTGTCTTGGGTAAATGAATTAAGAAGTTAATTTGAAGTAGGATTAAGTGAATTTGAGTAATTGAAAGGTTGAAGATGATGAATAGTAAAAAATCTAAAATTTAGGTTTTAATTGAAAATAATTTGATAAAAATGAGGAACTAAGCTATATAAATGCAATTAAAGGTAAATAAAATGAGTATTGGATGAATTAGAATAGAATTGATCATTTAAGCAAATTGAGGATTGATTCATTAAAGGTTGATTGTTTAAAGAATGAGTTAAAGATTGGTAATGGGATATGATTAGATGATCGTTTAGAATCAATTAAGAGGTTATAGAATTTAGTTAGGTGTTTGACTCTAGTCTTTCCGAACAATTCTATGCTATTTGATAATCTTGTATTTTAATTCTAGAATAATTTATTGTTTGGATTATTTTTTTGATATACGATATTGATGGTTGTTCATCACTATGTGATTTGATTCTTCGAGTGGACATCTCAACCGTCTTGATTTCGTTCGGTTCTCCATTTATACTTGTGAGTGGATATTATATAGTGTACTCGTGTTTTAAATTCCTTTGAATTATGTCTATCATACATCATTGATTTAAGTATGATTTAGAAGCATTCCATTAGAACTTTGGTGGGAACGAGCTCCCTCAATATTTGACATTTTTTCATATCGAAATGATTTGACATGAATCTTTTTGATATTTTTTTACGAAATTTTATGTTGATTATTCGTGTATTTTTTGTAAATGCTTATTTGATATGAGATTGTACTATAACTTGGATTTGAAGCATGCATTGTTTTTGAATTGTTGATTTGAAATATGTATAAGTATAAATGGTTTTTGAAAATGTTTTCGAGACCACTAGGGACCTTGCTATAGGGGAGTAGCCTTTGAGCTCAATGATATGAAGCTCTAACTAGCGAGGAGAGGTAGAGTGCTAGCCCGTGTGTCAATCAACATATGGAAACCTAGTCACGAGAGGCATGACTTTTGGGCATTCACACCCAATGAATATATATATGTATGTATGTATGTATGTATAAGTGTTACGACGATTTGATACGAAATGGTTTCGAACCATTTAAATTTAGGACGTACGATTTAGTTTTGCAATATGCATTTGTTTTGAAGAAATAAACATTGCATTTTGAGATGAATTTGAAAGTATCGTCATTAGTCTATTTTCTTCCCATAGTATATTATATAATGTATACACACTGAGTCGTTGATTGCTCACCCCTCATTATTTCGGTTTTACGGGATATTGAGGGATTGCCTTTTTACTTCCATTTAGCTACTTGTTGAAGTCGGCACATTGACGTGCGACTTATTTCTTTGTAAATTTCTTAGAACTTATGTTTGTTTTAAATGTATTCTTAGAAGCTCGTAGTTATAGCTATGGGTATTATATTAGAATTTGATTTTGGATATTGAAATGAGAATAACATCAAATTATCAATTATATTTGAGTTATAAAATGATTAATAATTTGGGATAATGTGAAATGAAATGATATTTGAGGATTTAAGTTTAGATATTCGAGATTTATTTGTGTCGAGGTGGGCCTCACGGTATTTTTGATTCTCGCACCAGTCATGATCCACTTATTGGGATCGTGACAAGTGTTGGTATCAAAGCTTAGGCTTTAGAGTCTATGATAACTACGGAGTATAGGTTCTATCCTAATCCATGTTTTTGTCTCGAATCACATGGATCAATCCATTAGTGTGCGCCTTAGTTTTTATGTTTATAGTTTTGTATTGTGTGTGAGAAGTAGGGTTTTATGCACGGAATCCCTCATATGGTTTGCTTAATTTTGACATATGATCGTGTCAAATTACCCTTCATCCAAGTGTCATTTGCTACTCGACCGTATGGCATTTCTTTCCTCCTTGAACAAATTTTATAATGACACACAGTAGTTTCACTTTAGGGCTAATTTGATATTCACTAAACCTTAATGCTCACCTAAGAAAAATAGATCAAATCTTCCTTAAATTTCAAACTATTCGAAAATTAGCTCATGAATTTTTAATTTCGGATTTGATCTCTCCTCAACTATTTTTTTTTTTTAGATTTAGTCAATCATTTAGTTTTCCGTAAAAAAAAAAAAATGGTTACATAAATAACTTTTTGATGGAAATCATTCGGTAATATTTACTGGAACTTTCCAAAAAAAAATTGAAATTATTTCAAGTTATTTTTTAATTTTTTAATGTTCAAGAAAAAAAAAAAGAAACTTTTGACCATGAAAAATTCTGAATTTTTTCTAGAAAATAAATTGATTTTTTTTCCAACGAGTGTTTAAAATGCTATTTCAAAATTCCAAGAACTGAATATTTTTAGAAAGGAAAGTGATAAATAAAAATTATAGAATGAATTAAATCTAAAAAATAATAAAGTTTATGATAAATCAAACCTGAAATTAGAAATTCAAAAACTATTTTTCAAATAACTAAGAGGTTTAATTCATTTAGTTAAATAATTTATCTAAAACACGCAACCGCATAATTGTTCTTTAAACATTGTTAATTTCGAAAGTTGCCTCATTGCAGCAAGTGGTTGGCGGATCAAGGGATGAACACAAACTGGTCAGCCTCATTACAACAATTTGACCGTCTTTATGTGTTACCGATTGATGTGGGATTCTCAAATCTCAAGAATATATATATATATATTAGTCTGTAAAAATTATTTTTGTCCTCCTTTGCCCTTAGGCGACCAGGTAGAAAATACCTAAAGTAAGCAACAATTTATTGAACAAAATAATTAAAATTAATTAATACCTTAATTTGTTATTGTTGTGATTTACAATTGTTTATCCAATCAATCGTGAGTAAATTATAAAATAATCCCTTTAACTTTAAAGAAAAAGTAATTAATTTTTTATGTTTAAAAACTAATTATTTAATCTTTTTATCAATGTTGAGTGTTGACCAAAATAATTTAATATTATTTTATTTAAAACAAAATTATTCATCTAACTATCCATATTCTTTACTTATTTTTTATTTATTTATCAAAAAATCAAAATGAATTGAAAAAGAACAAAAAAATTAAGTTGTAAGAAAATTAAAAAATATATAGGGTTTAAATAATTGGTTTTTGAAACAAAGGGACTAATTAATTTATTTTTTGAAACTATAAGGATTAATTTATAATTTACTCAATCAATTGTGCCAGGCTATATCCGGATTTGAAATTCCCATGACATCCCATGGAAAGTAAACCAATCTAGTGCGATTTGGTTCGTTGACTTGCAAATGCAAGTAGGAGCAATTCATAAATGTTGAAGCATATCCGAAGACAAATTTCTCCACGTTCAAATAAATAAATAAATAAGTTAGAGAACATAAATGTTGAAGCAATTCATAAGTTAGACAAATTTCTCCACGTTCAAATTAGGTAGAGGCAACGAGCAAGAGATAAAAACGTCTAAGGAGGTGTACTGTTGGAAAGAACATCATGTGTGGTGCTCAAAATTAGCTCTTGAGGTGCAAGTTGAACGTACAACAGCCTCCCTCCCCCAATAGATGTGGATGGAGTCAGATTCTTCAATATCGTCCATGTGAGTAGGAGTATCAGAAGCAAATTAGCTAGTTTTTAGAGACCAGATGAAAGTTAGGCATTCCTAGGGATGTAAATGGGTTTAATCCGACACAATGAATATTTATTAAAAATATTTAAGGGGTATTGAAGTGGATAAAAAAAATAATATGGTTTTAGGGTATCAACACCTATTCTTTATTTTATTAATACCCGTTAATTTATTTTAATTTTTTTAATATGGAGAGATTTAATTGCATGAACTTTAAAAATTAGGGATCAAAATATTTTTTCAAAAACTATAAAAACTAAAAAAGACTTTTAAAAAAATGACCAAAATGCAAAAAAAAAAAAAAAAAAAAAATCAATAAATTTTAAAAACCAAAAAAACTTTTTTTGAAAATTGTAAAGACTAAAATGAAATATTTTGATAAATTATTTTTAATAGGGTATTAAATAGACAAATAAATTGATGTGGGCTTGTATGAGTCGAATAAAAATTTATATAATGATTTCTTAATGAGTAATGAAAATAATATTTTTTTTATAGATAAAGTAAAAAATTGAATTAATAGGTTGGGTATATGCTCATTGCTATCCCTAAGTATTCCCAAAGTGTCATTCAGCATGGTATGTCTTTTGCATTGATTACTTGTTTTGGGATTCTTATTGAAATCCATCACTAAATCCTATTGACCAAGCCGATTTATAAGTTACCAATATAAATATCTTCCTTTCTTTGAGAAGTTGAAAAGCCTTCTCCATTACTAAGAACTCAATTGGTGAAAATGTGATAACTATTTTGCAACCAAGAAAAATTGCACATTCTTATAAAAACTTGGACCAATAAGTCTACATAAATAAGAATTAACTAATTCATCCAATGTAAACAAAAACTATCCAAATAAAACATACACATTAGTGTTGGATCCAGGAATAAGTCTTAAAGACTTATATTTGTTATGAAAACCATAAAGGTCATTAGTTTTAAGCAAATAAGTTTCCATGAGTAGTAGACATATGAACCTACATTAAATAATCAATTGATAAATCTAAAAGTTTACACGAAACAAATCGAATGTTTTGTGTTAAGCGATAAATCATAGAGATTTATATAAGTAAATTAAAAAGAGTTTACATTGAGCAGAGTGCTTGCTAAATTAAAAAAAAAATTTATATATCAAAATTTATAGGAAAAAACAATTAAATAAACTGAAAGTTTGTAAAGAAAGTGATAAATATAAAGGTAAAAAAGTATAGTAAACAATGTAATGAAGAATTAATAATAATAAAGCGGGGAAGCAATAAATAATAAACTTGGAGAAAATAAATTGCAAGAAATATCAATTTGTAGAAAACTTGAGAAAGTTTGTGTTGAAATTACATATCAAGACATGCCTAAGAATTACAATGATAATGTTTATCTATTTATAATATTCTAAAACTTAAGACTTACTTTCCATACAAATATAAAAAAGTAACTGACCTAGAAGTCAATCCTTAAAGTATTATTTAGAACAAATGTTAATTTCTAAATTAGACAAGAAAATAGGTACCATAAACATAGCAGGATTTTGAATCATTTACAAAGATTAAATAAATAAAAATCTGAGGTGGAGAGTTTTTAGAATATTTTAGAATAATATTGATCACAAAATTTTCAAGTCCAAAAGAATAGAGTGCAAATTGACCAACCAATGCATTATTTTCTAGAATTGTTAGTTTTTTTGAATATCGATTCTAGTGACCATCAAATTTTCATTAGATAAATTCTGCACAGACCTTAAAAGGCTTTCTGAAGACAGAGAGAGCATTTATGCATGCATTTCATGCAACATTCAACAAGTTAAAAAGGAGAAAAAAAATCTGATTTAAAGAATCTCTTCTGCATTGAAGAGTCTAACAGATTTCCTACCAGTAACAAGAACAAGTTTTCACCAAGGAAATTATCCACTTCTACTTATAGTTCCTCTACTAGGAAGAGAAAATGTGCCAGTATTTTTTGGGCTCTTAAATCAAGAAATAACATTTCCCTTTAACCTCTGTTTAGTCAGCAAATTAGCCCATTACAACAAGTACAATGTTTATTGTTTAATCGAATTGAACTCCAATAAGATGACCAAAAGAACTGTTATTTCATTATTTATGAAGTTTATGACATCAAGACATATGTGCCTTAAAGCATAGAACAAGAATTACAGAAATTAGCTATTGAAAATTCTTCAACTTTTTAGTTACAAAGAACCTTCATAACAAGAAATTAAATGGCATAAAACTACAATAAATAGTTTTGTAGAGAAGCTTAGATTGAAACACTGTTAGGAATTCCCCTTCCGGTGAGCCCACCTTCACTGGTAGGAACCAACAAAGTGTATGGCATCTTTACTGGGCCAACACGATTCTTCAATTTTGCATCTTTGTTCATATCAAACATCCTGTCCTCGATATCTGCCAGTTTCTTTCCAAATTTCTCAAACGCATTCAATGGTTCTTTGTCTGCTGTCCAGTCAGGAGTGTCTCGCTGCCCAAGATATACCTCATCTGAGGAATGCCTGGACAAAATTTCTATAAGGGAAATGCCAAGAAGTGTTTGCAACTGAGCAGTGATTGTTTTCAAGAAAGCCTTATCAGGATTCGACTTGAGCTCTTCATACTCAGGAGAGCCTTCCTTAGGCATGAACCTACGGCTTACGGTTGGACGATTGGGAAGATAGCCTGCATAGGGGTACTGACCAAAATTAACAGCTGCATGAAGGGCAGAAGCCACCCATATGATTATGGTACATGAATCTATTAAATCTTCACGAGTCTGCATCTTTGGCCACCAGGTAGCATCTTTCAGGTCACCATGCCCTTCTTCTCTCACTTCCTTCCACCATAATTGTAGTTCAGAATCCTTTTGAATCATGCCATCATCCTTGTAGTAGAAAGAGCAGTAATCTTTGACCCATTCTTTGATTGCAAACCATATCTCTAGCCCATCAACAGCATATGGATAATCTTTTATCAATAGGCGAACACCATGTGGAGCCTTTGGATCCTCAATTGCCACTCCTCTGAATAGACAAGGTCATATGTCATTGAAATGAAATACAACATTATCATAGAATTAACCAAAGTTAAAATTCCTAAAGAACTATGACATCATTTACTAAAATTTTTAGTTCCTGAAGTCTTTTATCAGTGCATATTTCTCTATGCTGTTTAATTTCTAGTTCTAAGATTCTAGGAAACTATGAACAAGTACCAACTATCTTGTACTAGTAAACTAAGAAGGTTTACCTCTTTTTCAGATCTTCAGGAAGTGCTTGCTCAGTGAAATTCCAGTTTTTGTAAATTACTGATGACATTTCCATGGCATACTTTGCAGGATAAACTGTTGATTCTAGGATTCCACCAGCATTAATGAGAGTTTGTCTGGCAAGCGCATTTATGTTCATTGTGTCGCGAAAGTGAGGCTCTAAAAGTTTATAAATCGGGTGAAGCACACTGAGTTGTCTGTTTGTAGCAATCACAAATGGTTCACTCACAGCATGAGTGTTCAAAAAATGGCTAATAAGCTGATGGTAACCAGAGTCGTTTACACCCACATAAGCTTTAGCCAGCTGCCACATGGAACCTTCAACACCATGTTCAGCTGGGGTATAGACTTTGCTAATGGCTCCATATTCATCTCCCTTATCATGAGGCAAGCTTAACTCGATTACAAGTGGCTTCAGAGTTCCATCATCTTTCAAGAAAAGGAGAGTCCTCGAGGCATAAGTCTTTGTTGTAGTAGTGTTTATCCTCCTCAGGTATGGCATCAATGCATCATGGTGATCTAATATAAACATCCTGTTCTTCTCGATTGCCTATTCAACAACGAAGTATTTCAGCATTTCCAAGGGACAGATCTGATTCTAAACTCAATTATCGAAGAAACTAATCAAGAGACAGCTTACCTTATCTATGGTCAATCCATCCAGATTATTCTTTATGTGCTCTGCAGTTATTGTGCTGTTTTGATCACCATATTGCTTGCTGTTTAGCTTGCTTTTGGGAGGGAATTCCTGCAATGATTTGTTATTAGACACAAAGAAAATGTATATATATATATATATTAGCCAGACAGAAAATTTTGTTGGAACTTTAGGGTACCTCAAGACGACGAATGAGAACAGGGTTTACTCCGGCCAACATTTCTCTACCAAATTCTTCATCAGTCCTCCAAGCAGAGTGATTATCTGTTTAATTTATCACAATTTAGTTTCCAAAAAAAAGAGATAGGTCATAGGTGAACGAATGTATGTCTATAAAAACATAGAGTTAAAAGTTTTAGTTGAAACCTTGAATCACTTGAGGCTTTGGATATTGGAAAAGGTTTTCCCCATCAGTTCTAAAAATTTCCTTAAGCATCTCCAAGGGAATGTTTTTCTTAAGATTATCTAGTAGAGGACCATCAGGCAGCTCAAACCCTCCCTCGTAGAGTTTCAATACATCATCAAACGAGTCGAACTCATTAGGGGTTTCGTCACATAATGCTTCCAGTTCAGGCTTGATAAATTGAGCAACAGATTTCAGTGCATAAGCAAGGAAGTCTGACATCTTCAAATGACCGAATCGTTCATCCCTTGGAACATATATGTCTAAGCTCATGAGAAGTGGCTGCCTGCTCTCTGTGTTGGGGTCTGCATAAGATAACATGATTAGGACGAAATTTTACAAATGCCAACAGAAGTAAAATCACCAGTTATTGATAACATGAAAGTGAGATGCTCAGCAAGTAATGACCTGTTTTTGTTGCTGCTCGGCCTGTTCTGCCCCTACGAGGATAAGGATACTCAGAAGACCCACCAAGAACAGGGCGGACATACTTTGGACCCTCGTCAGGATCTCCCAAATCATTGTAGTAAGCATAATCATAGACGCGATCCCATTCCTTGAGTTCTCCTTCTCCATTTCCTCTCAAATTAACCAGCTCTTCTTCCCTGTATTTACGCAGTGCTGCTGGTGTCTCATGCGGCATATATGTCTACACCAATAAAAGTTGTTGGCTCAGGAAAATACTCACAACTTTGAACTACCTTCAGCTTTCTATGGTTACTTAATTACCTGGTTGGTGAAGAAGATACGATCCTTACTATAATGTTTTGCGGGATAAACCCATGAGTTGCAAACAAAGTGGACTCGGCCTTGGCCAGGAACATCTTCAAGGGTGACAGTCTTCAAGTAGAATTCACTGTGATGATTGTTTCTTATTAGGAATGCCCCTGGAACTCCAATCTCCTCATCCCAATCAAAGGTAACTTTGAATGCTGTCTCGCCCGCGGCTAAAGGAGTGATTGAAGTAATCCATTCTTCCAAATATGCAGGCTTTCCTAGCTTCCCTTTCAAATCATTCTCTATAAAAGGGCACCAAAATCCACGCTAGTTAGCTAATCACAGTATAATCTGAAAAAATTACAGGTCCATTTATTGCTATAATAATGAATGACGGGCTACAATTATGATCAGCCATGATGATCCGACATTTTTTAAAGTTCTCCAGAACTTTAAAAAATACATTATCTCACATTATTTATGGATTTTTATAGGTAGTAGCATATATGAGTAAATTTCAAATTAGTCCCTCTAGTTTCAAGAAATAAATTAATTAGTTTTTTTTTTAATTTCAAATACTATTATCTAGTCATTTAATCAGTGTTGACTATGCTTACTTCAATATTTCATAAAATATCTTTTTTTCTAATCAATATATATATATATTATCTAGTTTTTAAAACAAAAAATCAAAATATATGGAAAAGGAGCAACAAAGACTAAGTTATAAACTGATTAAAAAGCATAAGGATTAAATGATTAGTTTTTAAAACAAGAGAGACTAATTTATTCATTTCTTAAAACAAAAGGGACTTATTTATAATTTATTTTAAAATATCTTCAGGTCAATTTTTACGTCAACCTAAAAACCAAAACCATTTTAAATTAGACTTAGCCTTTAATCATTTTTATGCCTGTCATGATCACTAACAAATGATGTATCTATCTGAACGAGACAAATACAAGATGGGTTCTGTCAATGTTCGTTTATTGAAAATATTTTTTTTAAACTAGTCAACAACAGGAAGCAACATAATTAATCAATTAAGCACAACCAATCAATTTCCTATCAGCCTTATGGCCCATCTACTGAAAACGATAGAAACCTCAAATGGCTGCTTCAATTACCAACATTTGTTTTCTCTTTCAACTCTTGTTTCACATCATCACCCCAATATATTATTAAAACATGTTGTAATAAATTATACACGTGAGGATGGTCACTCATCATCATTATAATATAGAAACAGATTAGGTAGAATATGGGGCAAAAAAAAAAAAAAAGGGAATAAACATGGTCATCATGGCCAATATACAAACATTAGCAGGTTCAAAGATTATACAAAAACAGTATGGAAATGCCCACTTGAGGTAACGCATGTGATCCTTATATTTTTAAGTTCTTCAAGGACAAAAAAATGTATTAAGTGATGATATGTCCAGTCCTAATTGAATTATTGAAAAGTAATAAATCAATGAGCCCTTTAAGAAGCATTAGATCAAGAACTTAAACTTGGTTTTCTTATCTGATTTCCTTGAAATGCTATATGTTTTGCTTACTCTGCCCTTTTTTTTTTTTTTTTTTCATTTTCGAATAAGAAACATCAAATATGTGATCAAACTATTGAAATATTATCAATTTTTTACCTAAATTATTTTTTTACATTAATTTTGTCACTAAACTATTTTGATTTCTCAATTAAGGATTTTGTTAGAATTACTTAAAAAAAAGGTTAGTTTTCCTATAAAACTATGTTGTTTCTTAAGGATAAAAAAAAGTACAATTTGAACAGAAATTTAGATGAAAAAACTTAAAAAAGAAATGAAAGTTTTTAATTGAAAATTTCTGAAAACTGTAATGGAAAAATTAATATATAAAATAGTTTAATGGTAACATTCAAACTACCTATACAATTGGGTGATATTTTTAAGATTTGCCATGCATGGAAACTAGTAAACTATCGAGAATCCAAAAAAAAAAAGAAAACTGGCCGCTTTCATGTTCAATCTCTACAATTCCACAGCCGAAATAGTTCGAAATATCCCACCAAAAAAAAATGGATTTCGAGGTTGAAAAGGCATCAAATACTTACAAAATAAGGAAGAAAACAAAGAAATATATATTACTCACCAGAAGGATCAGTGTTAACAGCACTAACGAGTTGCAGAGAGACTCGTTGGCCTAACAACTCATGAACACGATCAAGAAGAGATGCTTGGAAATCACTGAAATCCAAAACATTCTTCTTCATCAACACAACAGTGCCCTTGACTTTCTTGCACTCACCACCACCACATTTCAACTTTTTATTTCCATCACCGTCACCAGTAAAGGCATCAATAATGTTCTGAAACATTATCTCTCTCTCTTTTGCTTGCTTTCTTTTCTTGGGCTAAACAAAGAATCTTAAGAATTGCTGTTGCTACAAGTTTTTGTGAGAGAAGGGTATGGTCCTAGGGGTATTTATACCCAGAGAAGGACTCTGAATGAGGTATTGAACGGGAAGCTTCGCCAGTTCATTTCTAGGAAGGACCAAAAAAAAAAAAAAAAGCTTTTGTTGATAATTTAATTATGATATCGATCGTCTTTTGATAGATTCATTCTTGAGAGATTGACCTATTCCTACAAGCCCACCTTGGACTTCTTTATTGGAAGATTTCAGTACATTATATTTCGAGTAAATTATAAATTAGTTTTTCTCGTTTGGATAAATAAATTAATTAGTATTTTTTTCAATAATAATCATCTAATCTCGAATTATTATTATTTTTTTATTGCACAACATCATATTTAAAAGGATAATGCTATCCAAAAAAATAAAGGTGGCCAATTTCGGACCCTGTATTTGGATTTGCGGGAAAAAAAAAGTACGTCAATATTCTATTCAAAGTAAAGATAGTTCTTGATTGTGACGTTCTTTCTGGCTTCCCATCACTTTCCTGGTTCTTCATCTTAGAACATATATCATTTATTTATCATTCCTCACTTATCACATGGTCTTCTCCATTTTCGGGAAGAGATTCTTGGTGGCTTTTTCAGCTGTCCCTTTGGAATTTTCACAAGCATTCGAATATTTTCTACTTTTTACGTGTGCTTCTAGTCGTTCGTCTACATAAAATAATAGGAATTATACTTTTCATTTTATAAAGAATCATATCTATGGCTACTTTTGCAAGAAATCCAGGGATCAGTGATAAAAATTAATATGTCAAAATTTCAACGTGTTTCTAGATTTTAAAATGTTTTTAATCCGTTTTTATTATTTAAGTTGGTTTTCTAATATATATATATATTTTTTTTGGTCAACATTTTGGGTCTAGAAAATTTTTTGGCTAAAAGGTCTAAAAATTTTTGTTTTTTATGCTGATATCTGTATGTAAGAAATTTAATTCTCTAACTACTTCTAGTTTTTGGCTACAAATTAATTAGTTTCTAACATTTAATCCAACATTAAATGTGAAAACCACTATCTCACCCACAAATGTTGGAACACTTCTACCGTCCTACCAAGAATTGAGTGTCTATTTGGGAGAGTAAATTATAAATTAGTCCCTCTCGTTTCGATAAACGAATTAATTAGTTTTTTTTTTATTTTAAAAATTAATTATTTAATTATTTTTTACTTTTTTAAAAAAAAATAGAAAGGGAATATAATATAATTAAAAATATGAAAATAATGATAAAAGAAGATATTTTATAAAATAAAATAAAAACATTAAATTAATTGCGGTAAACACCGATTAAAAAAATTAAATAATTATTTTTTAAAAACTAAAAAGATTAATTAATTTATTTCTCGAAACAAGAGAGACTAATTTATTATTTACTCCTATTTGGTAACTCTGAGTTTTGGGATTTTTATTTTTAATTTTTTTCAGCTTTTGGGTCTTTTTCTCCGTTAGTCATTAAAAAAAAATATTTGATAAAATTCTAAAAACTATTTTGAGAACTATTTAAAAAAGCTATAGTCAAAAGCTGCAAATTTCTGGACTTTTGAATCTTATATATCTTAAAAACATTTTAACACCACATGTTACTAAATATTTTTCAGATTTAATGGCATTTTTGCCCCTGGATTGTTGAGGATGTGGTAAATGGAAGTCTATATTATCAATTTGGTTAATTTTGATCTTGAAGTATCATATTTTTGGCAAATATTGTCTCTCCGTTTGGTTTAATCATTATCATTGACCAAAAATTCATTTAAAAAAAAATCAATTTTTGATGTTTTGAGATGAAAATTTTCACATGTGCTGAAAAAAAAATCAAATTTCTTTCCAAAATAATTTCAAAAACTTTTGACATCAAGAGGAATTTTTAAAATTTTCTTGAACATTAACAATTAATAAAATAGAAAAAATAGAAATACTTTGGAATGATCCCAAATTTTATTGGGATATCTAATAAAAAAATCATATAAATCTATTTGTTTCATCTTATTGTGATTATCAAAACATTTACATGGTTGAATACATAATACCTAATCAAACTTAAAGTATGTTAATTTTAAAAATCACATATGTAAACATTTTGAGAATTGTACTGAAATTATCCATATAAATTCTCACAAACTCTTTAGAGCTTCCAAAAAAAATAAACATAATTCAAACTTATTTTCTATTTTTTAATAATTCATTGAATTTTTATTGTTCAAAAAATAAAAAAATACTTTCAAATTAATTTTTTTAAAATTGTTTGTTTAAAATAGATTTTTTTATCAGCGCTAAAAGTCAAATCAAACGAGAAAACAATATTTGCTCAAACAATAATAATTTAAGATCTCAATTAATCAAATTAATAATATAGCATTCAGTTTACCACAATAATAATAATTTAAAAACAAAAAATGCATTTAAATCTTTTTGGTTTTTGAATTATAATAATCATTGTTACAGTCACAATCATAACAAAAACAAACGATAACTAAAAGCCACAACTTTTCGAAACAACTCTAAATCCAATAATAAACGTGAAAATCACTTTTTCAGCAATAAATGTTGGGCTATTGCTTCTCCTACCAAATATAAAATAGGGGAAAAGGGTGTGAAACTGTCAAAAATGATGGGATTTTGGATTTTTAAAAAAATCTCTTGATTTGAATTTTTGTGATTGCCATCCATTATTAATTCTGCTAGCACTTTCACCAAAGATAATGCTGACAGATTTTGAGATCCCCTCTACCCCATTTGCTATAAATTAATCACATTTATGATTTATGGGCAAGAAAGGCAAACTATTAACATTTTCCACGTTTGCTTCTAGTCCTTCGTCTACATAAAATAATAGGAATTATACTTTTCATTTTATATAGAATCATATCTATGGCTACTTTTGCAAGAAATCAAGGGATTAGTGATAGAATTAATATGTCAAATTTTCAAAGTGTTCTTAGATCTAAAAATATTTTTAATCTGTTAATATCATTTGAGTTGGTTTTTTAATTAATTTTTTTATCAAAATTTTCGGGCTAAAGGTCTAAAAACTTTTGTTTTTTATGCTTATATCTATATGTAAGAAATTTAATTCTCCAGCTACTTCTAGCTTGTGGTTGTAGAATTAATTATTGAATCAAACAATAAATGTGAAAATCACTCTCTCATCAACATAAGTTGGGACGCTTTTACCGTCCTGTCGAGAATTGAGTGTTTATTTGGGAGAGTAAATTATAAATTAGTCCCTCTTGCTTCAATAAACGATTTAATTAGTCTATTTATTTTAAAAAATTAATTATTTAGTGCTTTTTACTATTTTTAATTTATTTTGATTTTTTGTTTTAAAAAATAAAATATAAGTAAAAATATGAAAACATTAATGAGGAAATAAGACATTTTTAATCACAAAGTGGTAACTCACTAATAAGTAAATGTCGACTTATAAATCGATTCGTGGTTCAATCTTTATGACCAAGTACTCTTGAGAATTTAGTTTTAGAATATTCGAAATCGAACATTGAGGAGTGCTTTTTAGCCGCATCTAGAGAGGGATTAGTCTCGATATGTATGAAAACTAATTCGAAGACATCTTTACTATTAAAAAAAGATATTTTACAAAATAAAAAATATTAAATTAAGTATAGCCAACAATAATTAGTTTTTAAAACCAAATGGACTAATTAATTTATTTTTCAAAACAAGAGACATTGATTTATAATTTACTCCTATTTGCAAACTCTGACTTTTTGGTTCTTTTTTTTTAAAGCTTTTGGGTCTTTTTCTCCATTAATCATTAAAATAAATATTTGATAAAATTCTAAAAACTGTTTTGAGAACTATTTAAAAACCTGAAGTCAGAAGTACGAATTTTTGTACTTTTGAATCTTATACATCATAAAAACATTTTAACACCACATATAAAATGTGAAAATCCAATAATAAACGTGAAAATCACTTTTTCAGCAATAATGTTGGGCTACTGTTACGTCCTACCAAATTCAAAACGGGAAAAATGGGTGTGAAACTTTTGGATTAAAAAAAAAAAAAATCTTGATTTTGAATTTTTGACATTGCCATCCATTATTAATTCTGCTATGACAATGTTAGCAGATACAGCTAGCTCTTTCACCGAAAGATACTGCTGACAGATTTTGAGATCCCCCTGCCCCATTTATGGGCAAGAAAGGCAAGCTGTTGACACTTTCCATGCATTTCTCACTTGGATTCTTCTGTCCATGTCCATTAAATGTTTTTTTTTTTTTTTTTCATGCGCATATTTTATGGAAGAAAACAGCCCAAATTCAATCAAATAGAAGGATCCGATTTTGAAATATCTGAAACGTTAAGGATCCAATTGATAACATTTTTTTAAGTGGAATTGGGCAATTACATTTAGGGCTAATTTGATATTTTCTCTAAACCTTAATGCTCACGTAACAAAAAGCTAAATAGATCAAATCTTCCTTAATTTTTAATCTATTTGAAAATCAGCTCATGAGTTTTTAATTTTGGATTTTATCCCTTCTCAACTAATTTTTTTATTTTTTATTTTTAGATTTAGTCTATCATTTAGTTTTTTTTTTTTTTGGTCAAAAAATAACGGTGATATAAATAAACTCAAAATAGAAATCATTTTTTTTAAAAGCTAATTATTTAATTCCGTAACCAGTATTGATTAACTTAATTTAATGTTACTTTACTTTTAAAAAATCATTTTTTTCATCAATTCTTCTATATTTCTTACTTATTTTTTATTTATCAAAACAAGAAAAATTAAAAAAATTAAAAAAAAGAATGAAAAAATTGAGTTATAAGAAAATTAAAAAGGGGGAGGGTTTAAATAATTGGTTTTTGAAACAAAGGGACTAATTATTTTTTGAAACTATAATGACTAATTTATAATTTACTCGATCAATTGTGCAATTGAAAAAGGGTTTAATCACAATGAAAAGTAAACCAATCTAGTGCAATTTGATTCATTGACTTGCAAATGCTAGAAGGAGCAATTAATAAATGTTGAAGCATATCCATAGATAAATTTCTCAACGTTCAAATAAAATAAATAAATAAGTTAGAGAATAGAAATTTTCTAATGAATTCAAAAGGATAGTCTTAAATGAAAAAGGATTTAATCACAGTTACCTTGTCTTACAAGAAAAGTAAGGATGGAAAGTAAAAGAACATTTTCAGAGAATTAGGTTTCGTGAGTGATTTTAAATTAAACGACAATTATATCTAGTCATTCAGTTTTTCTTGTAGTTTTCTCGGGTTGTGTTGCAATTGAAATGGAAAACTATGGGAAGCAGGAGCAGTGGTAAGAGCAAGTTCTTGCAAATTACGTTAATTTAATGACAGTTGGAGAGTGTCAAATCATCTTAGCATGGGAAAAATTGGAACATGCAATAAACAAGTGCAAACTATTCCAAATTGTAATTATTAATTGCATTCCTTCTTCTGATAAGTTATTCTGCTAGGAAATACTTTTCAATGCCAACTTGCAAATTATCAAGTCAATCAAGCTGCAATTCAAGAGCCTTCAATTTAGGCAGCTTGGCAGTGACGTGTTCTGGTAAATATGGGTCTAGTAGGGATGACTATAAGGCGGGACGGAGCGGAGATCATCATCCCCATCCCCACCCCGCCCTCTTAAAAAATTTCCTATCCTCACCCTGTGCTTCGAATGGGACAGAATTTGCTATTCGCATCTTCTGCCCCAAACGGGGATGGGGATCCCCGCGGACTAACAAGGCCTCGTTTTATCGTTTGTGTCCATCCCGTCTCGCCCCATTTTATTCCGTTTTGACAGATTTTATAATGAGCACATAATTTGCATAATTTTGTTTCCCAAGCAAGAGATCAAATTACACGAACTCTACTATAAGTCACCGTTAATGGGGCAAAACGGGACGAGATGGACAAATCCCATCCTTGTCCAAAAAAATTAAGGGACGGGCGGGACGACCTCGGGTCGGGTCATTTTGCCATTCCTAAGGTCTAGTCTCGTAAAAATTGCTTTTGTCTTTTTTGGCCCTTAGGTAACCAGGTAGAAAGTACCTAAAGCAAGTAACAATTTATTGAAGTAATTAAAATTAATTAATACCTTAATTTATTATTGTTGTAATTTGCAATTGTTTATCCAATCAATCGTGAGTAAATTAGAAATTAATCCCTTTGTTTTTTAAGAACAAAGTAATTAGTCTTTTTTATTTCAAAAACTAATTATTTAATTTCTTAATCGATGCTTGACTAACTTGATTTAATGTTACTTTACTTAAAAAGATATCATTTTTTCTCATCAATTTTTCTATATTTCTTACTTATTTTTATTTTTTATATATCAAAAAATAAAAAATTTAAAAAGAACGAAAAAAATTAAGTTATAAGAAAATTTAAAAAATAGGGTTTAAATAATTGGTTTTTGAAACAAAAGGACTAATTAATTTATTTTTTGAAACTATAAAGACTAATTTATAATTTACTCAATCAATAGTGCCGAGGCTACGTCCCGATCCGAAATTCCCAAGACATCGAATGGAAAGTAAACCGATCGAGTTCATTGACTTTCAAATGCAAGTAGGAGCAATTCATAAATGTTGAAGCATATCCAAAGACAAATTTCACCATGTTTCAAATAATAAATAAATAAGTTAGAGAATAGAAATTTTCCCATGAATTTGAAAGGATAACTTCTTAGAACTCAAATGAAAAAGGGTTTAATCACAATTACTTTGTTTTTTTTTAAAAAAAGTAAAGCAACATTTTCAGAGAATAGGGTTTTGTGAGTGATTTTGAATTAAACGGAAATTATATCTAGTCATTCAGGTTTTCTTTGTAGTTTTCTCTTGTGGTGTTGCAATTGAAATGGAAAACTAGGGGAAGTAGGGGTAGTGGTTTGGGAGTTAAATTGTAACAAGAATAGTAGTTTTTGTACCAAAACTTGGGGTCAGTGAATTGAACTTGACCACTTATAGAAAAGAGCAAGTTCTTGCAAATCAATCACGTTAATTTAATGACAATTGGAGAATGTCAAATCATTTTAGCATGGGAATAATTGGAACATGTCAATAAACAAGTGCAAACTATTCCAAATTGTAATCATGAATTGCTTCTTTTTCGTAAGTTATTCTGCTAGGAGACACAGGGAAGGTAGCTGGGAATACTTTTCAATGCCAACTTGCAAATCATCAAGAAGCCAATCAAAGCTGTAATTCAAGAGTCTTCAATTTAGGCAGCTTCGCAGTGTCGTGGAAAGATAGCTTGGTCCTGGTAAATATGGGGTCTAGCCTATGGGATACATACAGGTTTATTGAGATATATTGTATCTTAGAATTCCTAGTTCTTGAATCTATGAACTCTTGAAAGGTCATTCAATACAAGTAACTTGTTTCTTATCCAAAACACATGGAAAAGAGAACCCTTTTATGCCATCTAAATCAAGATTGATGAATGAGTTGGCTCAAGAATGCAGATCTTAAGGCCGTCGTTTAGCTGTAGAGAATTCAACACAACTACGCAAGCAATTTAATCATGGGACTTTGACGAGTTTCAAAAAATTGACCTCGTCAGAATTACTTGCGGGCTAAACCAATGAATACTGAAGAATTCATTTTAACAAGGAATCCAGGAATGGCACGAACCGAAGCTTGACAATGCAGAGAAAACCATAAAATAAAGATAAAAAAAACAAAAAAGTGCATCCTCAGCTCGAAAATAGCAGAAAAGATCGACGAGAGATGTTTATTTTTATTACGACAGGATCCGAAAGACAAGAATCATCTAGGTATATATCAGTTAGAACGAACGAAAGGTACGAGATACAAACAAGTATGTATTTTCCTGTTACAGTGATTCATTAATTAATTATGACTGCTTAAAATTTGAACATACGTATAGTTGATGCAGAAAGCTTCGATTATGATTAGAAACCATCTTTTTTCTTATCTTGGTTCAGGTACAGACCTTTTTCTCTAATGAAATCAATCACTCCATCTGCAGTTAAGTACTTTATGGACAACCCTCTTGAAATGCATTCCCTCACTCTCGTTGAACTGATCTGGTTTGGTACAAGATCATCTGTAACTCTGATGTTACCCTTGTTTTCACTCAAAATTTCATCGTCAGATATAATCTTATTAACATCTTGCCCCTCTCTACGAATGCAAACCACACCATAATCACTGCATATGGTTCTCACCTGCTCACGAATCCAACACCCAGGAATACTAAAGGATTGGAGTAAATCAGAACCACAAACAAGCATGACCTTCAGGGATTTTCTGGACCTCTTCATACCATCAGCGAATGACCTCTCAACTCTTTGTAAAACAGTCAAAGTACGTTGGTAAGTGCTTTGGTTTGCTTCCCATGGATCAGTCATTATGAAATCGGAAGTTTCACAGGCCAATCGACACATCTGTAACCTATGTTCCCCAGATAGAAGGCCTGCTTTCTTGTATGCATCACTCACAGGGGACATGTAGGCTGCAATGACACGGTATCCCTCTGACTGCAATGCATCTCTTGCCAGCTCAAACATTCGCAGGTGCATAAAAGTTGGAGGATTGAAACTGCCAGTTGCCACAAGAACTACATTTATCTTGTTACTTTCTTCAGTAGAATTTAGATCAAAAGATAACTTTTCCATTGGCAATTGAAGATCCATGATATCTGAATGACAGTGACAAATAAGCATTAGTGCACCTTATTCTTGATGGCATGCTTATGATTATGCACAGCCTCACAGTAAAGAAGCACTTAGATGATGCAGCAGAAGCTGAGTACAGAGAGATTTCCCATTCCAGATTTGGCAAATTCACATTTTGCTAATAAATATAAATCCATCCAAGGTGTACAATAATTACAAACTGTGTGTAAGATCTGAATAACACATAAGCTTGAGCCAATCGGTGAAATATGGACAAAGGTTAACTTTAGTAAGTAATCATGTGAATCACATAACGAGATCACTGCAACAGGATCAACTCAAAAGATCAGAAGCACATGTGTGCATGCATAAGTGTGAGTGTGTAGGGAGTTAAAGGGCAATAAGGTCAATAATTAAATTGTGATCCACAATGAATAAGACCAACAAGACAATGAAGGACCAGATTCCGCATAGGAGCTAGTTAAAATTCACAAAAGCCATCATGTCATGTTTATTCACATGGTAAAACACATGAGATTGCCTACATCACTATTTTCATTCAGGAAGGAAGACAGTGAAGGAGCAGAGAGAGTGAAGGAGTTAGAGGCATAGAAGTGTCCCCACACACACACAGAGCTGTGTAATTTGCAGTACTATGAAATTCGGTTAAAATTCCTTAGTTGAGTGAATCAAACGAGTTTATTAACATACAAAGGATGATCTAGATTTAAACTAGTTAATCTCTCGTAAGGAGCAAACTGAAACCATTTAATGCCATGTGGAATCTGTTTATAAAAGCACATCAATGTGCAGACAAGGGAAAGTTGTATGAAACCTCTCAACCCAGGTAAATCAAATACAATGATTTACTTTCTTGATTTACCACATCTTCCATGGTTGTGTCCACCTATTCTCACACCACCACCTTTCCTTTTGTGACCCTTACCCCCACTTGAATATATGCTGGCATCAGATATTATTTTCATGTCCTCTGACGAGGGAAGAATATTATCCACACCCTTCTGGAAACTGAAATCATCCATGAACTCATCATCCCAAATGAGGAAGAAGCACTGAATCTTTCACATTGGATAAAACAAGACTTGGAAATCTTGGATCCCACCACCAATCTTTTTCTCAGGCTCTGAATGACCCTTCTTAAGCAAATTCAGTAGCACCATGTGCTAAAACTTGTTGGCATTTAGATTGGGAGGCCAAAAATGAAGGAAATTGTAGAAAAAGTCAAAACATCTCCACTGCTGAAACAAGTCTTTCGGCCCAACCTAACTGGACCAACCTCCTCCTCCTGTTCCTTCCTCTCTCCCTCTCCATTAAACCTCTCCAATTGCTCTTCCTCCATATATTTATCCAACTTCTGCTTCTTTAATACATCCTTATTTTCCTCCACTTCCTCCCTCGTTTTCTTGGAGCCATTGGCTGCCAAGTTCTCAATGACATCCATGTCTTCTGTCACAGGTTTGCCTTGCACTAGGTTGGTTTCAGAGGGTTCAATTAAGTCTTCTCTGCCATCAATTTGTGAGTAAACGAGGGAAAATTGTAACTTTAAACTCCTTTCAAATAGATATATGAAACCTATTTTACAGAGAAATTTGAGTTTAAATTTCTACAAAAGAAAGCTTGGTGCATGCCTTACTAAATCCTAGCATAATCTTCATAGTATGTTCATCATGTGAAGCCCAAATAATTACCATTTAGCTAACAATCAACAAATCTAACCCACGATCTCCCAATCCTTGCCACACACTGTTTCTTCCTTTAGAAATACTACTAACCAGAACTGTTTGCCAACCATCATAGTGTCCAGAAACTTCCCCGTCTCTGAAATATGATTGCGTCCAACAAAATCTTATCCCAACAACTTAATTGTCACCATAACTCTAAACTATTAAACCGTTGCAAGGATACTCTTTTCCCACAATATCTGAATCCATATAGGGCAAGTGTTCTTACTCTCTTCTTTCACAACAAACCCATTCCTTTTCCCAATCTCATTCTCCGCACTTTCCAAACTCCATCCCCTGAGTTTATCACATCCCAAAAGTTAAATAGAAATTAAAAGCCCGAAATGAGGAAATTCTAGAAAAATAAAGTACTTTTTAGTCCCAGAACAATATTACCTCCCTTTAAATTTTCCTTGCCTACAAAAAGACTTTTTGCTAAGAGAAATAACTATTCTACATAACTAAAGACTAAAACTTCAAACCGAATTTAGAAGACAGATTTTATCTCACTATCTCTCATTTCTTTGCAACAAAATCCCAAAAAGTTTCTCCCTTGCATACATTTGACCAACATGAACTTTATCCAATCTCTCTTAATACCTCGAAACTTCCCCTGCATTATTATATGATGTGCGAGTAAGACCAGTTGTAAGCATATAAAGTAAAAAACTGCAAACAATCAACAGAGTTTAACTAACTATCTCTCTTTTCTATGCAACAAAATCCCAAAAAGTTTCTCCCTTGCGTATACACGACCAACCAGAACTTTTGCCAATCCTTCTTAATACCTCGAAACTTCCCCTATATTATTATACGATCGCATCGAACAAAATCTATCCCAACAACTTAAATTGCCACTCTAAAAAATAAACTGATGCAAAAGAAACTCTCGTTTCGACAATATCAAATATTACAAAACCTCTTACTCTCTTCTTTCACAGAAAAAAGAAAAAGATAATTCCTTTTTTCACATTCCACACTCCACAATCATATCCTCTTATGTTTGATCCTATAATTTTTATCCTAATCCAGTTGATTAAAAATAAATAAAATTGAAGCAATACTAGATAACATAAAGTACTACTCCACTCTCTTCGAACTTTCCCTTTGACAGCCAAAAAAAAAAAATCCTTTTCTTGGTTGAATTTACTATTATTATTTTTTCAAAAAATACTTATGCTAAACCGAAATTAGCAGAGACAATGAAGTTAATAACCTACAAGCCACCGTTTAATTAAAAAAACCCACATCAAAACCAAAGTCTTTAACACAAAAGTGCCCAGTATTTATGTCTAACTCTCCATAACTGTGCAAGAAGATGTTCACAGTTTGATGGGTTTCATAAAAAAAAAAAGAAAAAAAAAAGCAAATGTTAAAGAGAATCAGGGATTTAGTTATGATACCTTTATGAAAAGAGTGTCAGAATTTGCAGCAAGCAAGAATAGCGAAGAAGGAAAGAATGCGGGTGCGAGGGGAGAAAGAGGGTCTACGAGAGAGGCCATGTAATAAAAGAAATTGCCTCACATTTGTCTAGTAGAGCACGCGTGGGTTTTGGGCTGGCTCTCGAAAGAACGTGGATTTTTTCCTTTTTCAGCAGCAAAAAAATTCTAAATCAGTTTTCACACATATAAAGATTAATTTATTTTTAAAATTGCTGATAATAAGAATTGAAATTCGCACCTCTCCTGCAAGTTGATACTTGTTTAGCAAGGAAATACTGTCTTGTAGTTAAAAGAATATGACGATTTATACGAACAAATTAAACCTAAGGATCATATAACCATCCAATTAGCCTTTTTTAATGAAACAATGACTTCGAGTTTTTTTTTTTTTTAATGCTTATATAATGGAAGAAAGCTACTTTCATTGTGTAATCCAAACATCCATAGACCTCCGATAAATTGTTTTTTAAAAAAATGTGGAAATTTAGCTATATGGAATTGAATGAAATTAGGTTTTTCTTGCATGAAAATTCATTCCTCTGAACACGACAAACTGTGAATGAAATTAGGGTTCTGAATGTTGGGCTTTTAATTCTAGAGATATGGGCCAATCCCAATAAATTCACATTGCCAACCCAAACTTGCTGCAACTCTAACGGGCCACTTAGGAATGACAATGGATCGATGGAGTCAGATTTTGCTTCAATTGCATTTGATTCGGAACATCTAAATCTAACATTCATATCCTACTTCAACCTGGGTGGACCCGACCCAATCCAACTTGTTTTTTTGAAAAAAAAATCATTTTTTATAAAAATAAATTTTATCTTTATTCATGAATTATAAAATTTTAAAATAAATCCTAAACTTCAAATTTTTTAATAACCTATAAAAATCATTAATGAATTTAACATAAAAATCCATTGATATATATATATATATATATATATATATCAAAGAAGTTAAAACATAGGGTGAAGGCGGGTTGTTCGATAGAAAAGGTAAATCCATTACCTGTCTATTTTCACTCCCCATTAAAAATCAACATTATTCGATTTAAATAAAAAAATCAAATCGAATTAAAATATCAATTTTGATTTGTTTTTTAACTAAAAAATTAAAAAAAGAATCAAATTAAAATATTTTTTTCCAGTTCGGTTCAATTTTTAAAATTTTTTATTTGATTTAAATCAAAAATAGATTTTTTTTGTTTTTAATTTTTTAAGTTTTAAAATAACACAAATAAATTAAAAAAATATCATAATTTTATTATAAATATACGATGAATCAATAATTTTTTTTATCTATTTATATGATTGTAAAAAAATTATTTTTTAAATTAGTTTAAACCAAAAACCAAAATTTTGATTTAAAAAAAAAGAATAATAATTTGATTTGGATTTGATTTTTGTTTTTATAATTTGGTTAATTAAAAACCAAACCAAAATTGTTAAAATTAAATGGAAAAACCGAATGATCACCTGTTATCCAATGCAACCAAATCGGGTGAAATCGGCACACCTGGCGGCACTGGCACACTTCTTGCAGAAGATTGTAACGGTCAACAACCTAAACAACGATCCTTGTCTAGCCAGGCCACCCTACAGAGTACAGACATCATAGAATTCTAACTCCCCATACCCTGTCTCTGTCTCCGTCACCGTCACCGTCACGTGGACATTGCTTGCTTTCTTCTTCAGAAAAATTCCAGTGGCTGGCTCCTTTTGCAATACAATCCAATTTTCTCGCTTTTCGAGGCGCTCTCTCTTTCTCTTTATAAATTCGAAACGACAGCACGTAGGATTTAAAAAGGTATCGAATTTTTTGTGCTGTTTTAGATTGAGTAAAAGAGAAAGAAAGAGCATTGGACTCATATTCTCTTTTCTTCTTCAAGCAATGGAGACTTCGAAGAGAAGACAACAGGACATCAACGACATGTCAATTTCGAGTGAGTGAATCTTGTTACTTTTTTATCATTTTTAACAATATTTGTAAATTTCTGCTTGGTTGGTTCATTAGAAACTTAATGGAAATGGAGATGAAAAGAGAAAAGCAACATTTTCTTGTTCGTATTTTTTTTTTTTTGGGGGGTGGGGGGTTAGATCTTGATGCAACAACGAAGGAAATTGAGGACCTTTCGGTGGGTTTTATGAATTTTGTTTAATATTTTCATATATTGTGAGTTGAAGGTTTATTTATTTATGTTTTGCAGGAATTAGAGAGAAGCAAAGAGAGGAATTAGAGAATCTAACACTAGCAACACAGCCTATAAAGACCCTGACATATTTTGTATTGGCTATAGTTCAATGTCTCCAGAGATTGTTTGCAAAAAGTGGCTGGCTTTTGCTTCTGATAAGTGCCCTTATAGGAACTATTGGGATTCTTGTCATTGCAACTGGTAGCCCTTATCAAGAGGTAACATGATTGCCATACTTTTTTTTGTAGATTTTTGTGAATTTTATTGAGTAACTGATACCCAGATGTGTACTCTTGAAAAATAACTAGTGGTGATAAGTGTGCTGAAAATTCTAAAATGGATTATTGATGTTGGCATGTTGCTAGAAAGTATTATTTCGTTGGTGGGTATTTGTTGTGGATTTTGTTATTTGCAGATTTAAGCGTACTTCCCCATTCGTAAAATGCTTCCTTTTTTTCTTCAAGTTGAAACTAAAAGACTCTGTTCTTATTCTGATTTCAAGTTTGTACCTTGATGATACTGCAGCATGTCCATGAAGTTGTTAATTATCTTCGATTTGGACTTTGGTGGTTGGCACTTGGTGTAGCATCATCAATTGGTCTAGGTAAAAGAGTCATTCTTGTTTTCTAAGTTTCTGTTCCTATAATGATTTTTACCAGAAGATTCTCATGGATTGTATTTCATACTTTTGAATGAAGTTTTTTCTCTAATTCTGTTGTGCATTTCCTTTCTTGCACACATTGTTTTGTGGACTTGAAAAACGTGGAAAGGAACTGGCTGCCATAGGTTTACCGGTTACAAAAATGCTGTATAGAAAAATAGTAAATCAAGATAGGAATCTGACGCTAAATGCATTTTGACTCTTATACTTGAAAAGAAAACCTGAGTTTGGTCCAAGCTAATGATCATCAGCTAAAGATTATAATAAACTTGGTACATGATAATAGACATGTAGTTTCAAAGATGTGAGCTTTGGAGTTCAGACTCATCCATGTGCTATATTTTTAAGCTACTTAAGTAGCACGTGCCATAAAGAAGTTTTTAGACATTATACAAGGGATTTGTGGCCAAAAATCTCAGTTCTATTTCAAATGTTCCCACAGAATCTGGATTCTTGTCTCATTTTCTGATATAATCCTGATTTATTTTATCATGCTCAAGTGATTTTACGTGGAAAGTTTTTGAAATTTTGAACCTTTTCTTCTCTGCAGGATCTGGTCTTCATACATTTGTTCTGTATTTAGGCCCCCATATTGCTCTATTTACAATTAAAGCTGTACAGTGTGGTCGAGTTGATATAAAAAGTTCTGTGTATGATACAATTCAACTGCATAGTGGTCCTTCATGGCTAGACAGAAACTGCACTGCTTTTGGACCTCCAATTTATTCATCATTAGAAGGCTCGCGAATTCCACTGACCAGCATTTTGCCTCAGATTCAACTTGAGGCTGTTTTGTGGGGCATCGGAACTGCACTTGGGGAGCTTCCTCCATATTTCATATCGAGAGCTGGTGACTATACTGAATCATATCTTTATGTTAATGTCTTAAGAATGGTTGTCCTTTCAGCTGGAAAAGCCTTTGCACATGTGCATGTGTGTTATCCACACACACACACACACACACACACACACCCTAGATGTTGGAATTTTCTTAACAATATATAAACTAAATTTGTACTTGTGGAGATCAAGTTCTGCTTGGATTGTTCCAAGGACGCTTTGACCCATGGCAAGATACCAAATTTGCTTGGGGATTCTTTGCTCTTTATTTGTTATGACTATGATAATGCTCAGGTGATTACAACTGTTAAAGCGGATACATCTTTGATCTTGCTTGTTTTAAGTGCCTAAATTGATAAGTTTGAGTTGACTTGGATTCATGTGCAGTAATATTTGTTGCTGTGTGAATTTAAGACTTATGAGTGATTCTATAAACAAGTATGCCTTTGTGTTGAGAGGTTGTGCACATAACATTATTACAAGAATGATTTGGGAAAGTTAGCACATTGAGAAGCTAATTTTGATTGATTGGCAATCGCTGGGCTGACTTTGGACCTAAGGTGGTTCATCTCGCGAGTCTATATTGAATTTGTATATGAATGGTCACTGTTTAGTCTCTTCCTGTGGGTCACTTGGCACTGACAAGGGAATTCAGCCTCTGTTAACATTTTACTGTTGTCTTAACTGCTTGACCTGAATTGCCTTGTCATTTAGTTGTAGCTAAAGATAGAAACGTTAATCATTTCACTACTCTATGATTTTAATTAATTTAGCTTTGTCTTGAATTGTGTGTGCAGCTAGCATGTCAGGTAGCAAGCTGGAAGTCATGAAAGAATTTGAATCTTTTTCAGTAGAAGATAACACAATCATGGCCACTCACACGAAACAGATTAAAAACTGGCTCCTTTCACATTCACAGTATCTGAACTTCTTCTCAATTTTAGTTCTTGCTTCGGTAATTTTTTGTTCTTTTCTTTTTTTGTGATGAGACCTTGTGAATCATAATGATGATTTCCTTTTCTAGCACAAGAGTTGCAGCTGCAGTTATTCTGCCTGATTTAACTCATCAAGTGAGGAACGTTGTCATTGTAGAGGAAGTTAGGAAGCATGACACAATTTTTCTACTTGCATAAATTTAGTAGTTATCTTTTTTTCTTTTTTTTTAATGTCTATATTGGCTATACTAAGCAGAAATTCTTTCCCATGCTGGCTTTTGCAACTATTCGTACCTGCACTCGCTATTCTTTCTTAAACACAACTTTGTCATTGTAGAGGAAGTTAGGAAGCATGACACAATTTTCTACTTGCATAAATTTAGTAGCTATCTTTTGTTTTCTTCATGTCTATATTGGCTATACTTAGCAGAAATTCTTTCCCATGCTGGCTGTTGTAACTATTCATACCTGCACTCCCTATTCTTTCTTAAACACAAATTTCAAATTCTGGTTATATTTTTTTCATGAGAAATTCTGTTTTGATCAAAGATCTTATGCCCTAGCGCCATCAACACTCTAGTTGAATTTGCAATTTGCTAACTGGGTATGCTGCAGGTGCCAAATCCTCTTTTTGACCTTGCCGGTATCTTGTGTGGGCAATTTGGAGTTCCATTTTGGAAGTTCTTCCTTGCAACACTGATAGGAAAGGCCATTATCAAAACACACATTCAGGTTTGCAATGCTCTATCTTCTCCTGCTACTTGATATCATGCATGTGTTACTTATGCAAACACACTGTACTATCTCCAATTGGTTGCTGCTGGTTTAATATTTTCCTGAAGTTTTTGAGATCTCATTTGTATTGGTCATTGATTGAACTGGTTATGTTGTCTTTATTATCACAGACAGGTTTTATCATCTCAGTATGCAACCATCAACTCCTTGACTTGATAGAAAATGAGCTGATTCGATTGCTCAGCTTCATTCCTGGACTTGCCACAATCCTGCCAAAACTCATTGGAAAACTACAAATTATTAGAAACAAGTATATGGCACCAACACCTTCAGTTTCAAATGTTGAGGTAATATGACTGAACTATAGAATCAGAACATAGCATACCTTTGCCTATATTGGCTGCCATTATGCTTTGGCATTAGTATCATTAACAAAGAATGGAGTTTGATTATATTACTTGATTTTGCAGCGTTCAAATCATAGTTATGCATGTATATTTATATATTCTCGATCGCAGAAAATTGTCTTTAGATGCATGCTCACAAAGTTGCATATGAACATCTAGTCTGAAGCTCTTTGCCTTGGGGTATTTCGAGAGGCAATGCCTTCTGGTCTAGTTATGTACTTTATGTGCCTTCAGGATTCCAAAGATGTGTGGTTATTCTAATGTGCACTAAGGTACTTTCTTTTAATTTCTTTAGGTAAAGAAATGGGACTTCTCATTTGCTTCAATATGGAACACTGTCATATGGCTCATGCTCATCAGCTTCTTCTTCAAGATTGTGACAGCGACTGCCCAGAGCTTTCTGAAGGAACGGCAGGAGAAAGAGCTGACATTGTCCACCTCCTCGTCTGCATCTATCCCTCCCCCATCCTAAAGCATTTGAGCATTTGATCCAGTTCGCAAACACTTATCTTTACTTATTCCACCACATATGTTGCTCTCTTTATGTGGTCATTTTAACTTGGTGGCAGAAAATTTTATATCTGTCACTTTTATACAAAACACGAAAGAAGGAAACATAGAGGGTACAGTAGGTTTGTCAGGGTGCCATTGCCAATACTGTCCTTCAGTTACTGTGTTTCACTGGTCCGTGGATTGATTAATTAATTTTCTAGAGAGACTATTTAATTTGTTTTGCAAAACTATGGGGACTAATTTATAATTTACTCTTATAAACTAGAGAGAGTATTTAATTTGTTTTGCAAAACATGTGAAGCAAAGACAAGCTTATTTGCAGCATCATACATGGGAGTTGACTGTGTCACACAAAATAATCCTCATTACTCATATTTTTTGTGTGATGATTTTATTCACATGAATCACTTTTTTCTACAAGCTGAAATGTGTTAAGTTGCAAAATGAATTAATAAAAGGGAAAGTCTTCATGATCACGATTTGTAAGTGGTGGTAATCATTTCGATTAGTTTCTAATTATTTTGAATATTTCTTATTGCAAGAATTATTCTATTATGCTACCAAATAGTTTAATATATAATATACAAGATAATTAATCATGGAACTTTGGAGGAAACTAAACAAATATTTGTTTAATTTAATAATGTTAGTTTACAAATATTTATTTAGGGTTTTGACTAATAATGAGAAAAATATAATTCTTATATTAGGCAAATGTTTTAACAGACGATTTAGCCGAGGCGGCCTTAGGCCAAGATTCTGAATCTATAATTTGGTTATAACTGTTATTGTGCTTGCAGTTTGGCCATCTTCTTAATGGCTGCCGCTGTTTCTTAATTAATATCTTCGATTTTCATCCAAGAAAAAGAAGAGTTGGACGTCAACCTACTTTCTTTTGAAGTGTTTCTTTACTGTGAGAGTGAGACAATGAAACACCAACAATGATGGTTTTCCCTAAACGTGGCTAATGAACTATGATTAAATACCAAACAATAAAGAATTAAAACATAGGACGTTTTTCCAATTTACATATAATTTCATAATATCCTATCGTGTATTGGAGAGTGTTCATTAGTCATATCGTGTATTGGAGAGTGTTCATTAGTCATGTTTAGGAAGAGATTAATTTCAAAGAAGACGAAAGCTGGCTCGAATATATCTTTATCGCTGAAAAAAAAGTAAGCATGCGCTCTACCAACAATTAGTATAATTAATTATGGCTATGTTGGTTTTGGCCTAAAAGCATGCACTCTACCAGGATCACTAACGAAGTTTATTAGACGAAACGAACGAGAGGGACTCGAATCTTCCCAATCAAGTACCAACCGAGTTTGGTGAGCTCCCTTGGTGCTATGCTCGTCTACTGCCTCGACGGTGATGAAGAAATGATGGAGAAGTGACCTCTGGATTTGCAGATGGAGAAGTAGTGATCCAAGAATTGATCGTCACACTCTCATCGTTTTGGACTGCAACGTTCTTTATCGATAAACATCAATATTATAGGTGTCAAAGACCAGATCGTTATCGCTGTCCCATTCCTCTAACTTATTATTGTTTTTGAGATACAAAGGCACCCATTCTTCATAGACATAATCATCATCAGTTTCGGTTTCTTCTTCTGATTCCTAGCTCTTACTACCCGAGTTATTGTTGCCATTATTACTGCTATGATCAGCTTGTTCTTCTTTGTCGCTCTCATGAAGGTTGATATTAGTTTCAGACCATTCTTTTTTTATTATAACAAACCTCTTCTTGCAGCACAAGGTCTTTTCTTTTGCTTCCAAGCCTTTGCAGAAATCGAACCTGAAGCTGTGTAAACTCATCGTATTCAAACTCCTCCTCCTCCTCTTCCTTAGACACATCTTCTGTTGTTTCTTTGAATTGGGTACAGTACTCTTCAAGAGTAGGCTTATCTAACTCCTCAGACATGTCCAAAAACAGCTGAAAACAGTGGCCAAGCTGGCTTATAATCTCAAGAAATTCCCCAGATCATGTTAGGAAAATCGCATCCACTGACTTAGAAAATTAATTTCCTAGAGAGAATAGGAAACGCTAACTGGATCAACGAAGAAAGCAAAAACTGATGGAAGATAAGTAAGGGATGGAGAGATGAGAGGTCACCTCAGTTTTCTTTGTGTTCTTCTACGTGGTGGAAGAGGTAGAGCGGGCCGGTGACTTGGAATAAAGAAGATACCACCAAAAGCGTAATTCCCAAGCAGCGATTTCCATTAACGTAACATCATAATTTGTTTGCGTGTTCTTTTCTTTCTCGTCTGTTGATGAAAAATACTCTCTTTATGCTATGGTTTGGTTTGTGATCATGCCAAAGCTCTATAGAGAAAAGTGATGATACTTGGACGTCAAATGTCAATCTACTTCTTGTGATTTGCTCAAATAAATTCGACGTAGATAATTGCAGATAATTGACGCTTAGGTAAATTTTGAGTGGCAACTCTACATTTTCAAACTATATCTTCTATTATCGTCTAGGCACATCAGATGCTTTTGCATCATCATCATCTGATTGAATTGAAGAGCAAATATCCAAGGAAAGTTGAAAATGATAATAACAACTTACTGTTTTTGCTTAAATTATAACAATTTTAAGGAAAACCACACAATATTATGAAAGGAATTTGATTCAGAGCAGTACTTCTTAGGTGCACTGCATATTTCAGATTCCCAGCTAGCCCAGCCCTGCGTCCCTCTCCCACTTAAGGTCTGCTGAAAATTCTTGGAACGCAGCTCGAGGGTCACCATTTGAAATAGACCAGTAGTATTGAGCAATTCCATCATCAACTTGCATGCTTCTCTTTAAAGAATTGATGACCTTTCTTTTGCCATGGTCAGAGGAGGATGATCCCTCCGACATTAGCTTCTTGTCAGGCCTGCCTTCTAGATATAATACTGCAACCTCTCTTCTCGCATAGGTATCCAACTCTATGTAGCATGTCTCATTTATGAGAAGGTTCGGATTGATTAGGGGGATTAACAACCTCTCCCTTGAGTATATGCCATGGTCACTCGTCATGTTATTTAACCGTTGTATATCCATAACCTGCCGAAACAAAGAAAATATAAACTACATATTCAGAATGCATTTAATTTGAAGCTCATATCATGAATCAACTATAAAAGACACCAGAGTTCAACCAAGAAATCACAAAATAAATGGAATTTTGCAAAGTTAGCATTTTTAGTCTAGAAAAATATAGCAAATCAGACTCAGCAAGGGGAATAGTATGCATTGATATACTGGATTTAGTCCAGCTTGAACATTTCTGCAGGATAATTTACTCATCATCCATCTATAACGATGAACAGAACCAACATGATGCAGTACAAAATTCTAGTGGCATTACATAATATTGTCATTGCAAATTATAAATTATCTTTCAGTTCATGCAAAGGTTTCATTGTTATCACTGCCCACCATAATCAAAAGATGAACATAAAATTATGCTTTCACTGAGTGATATGGCATGGTCCTTACTTAGATCAGTATCAACCCAGGACCTTCTTACCCTGTTTTTTAGGGCTGGCAGCCACTTAACCATTAAGCCATCAGTAAGCCACCAGCGCCTTTACCATCAAACCAAGACAGTGGTATCACCGAGCCTGTTACCCTTTGTGCCTTCCTAAATGACATGTTCCATTGATTGCTTCTACATAGAACTTGTAATTTACTTGGTTGATATGCAGATCAACCTCTTGATCTCTTACTTCCGTTCTATTCAGATAGTCTTAACACAAATCAAAATAAACTGCAAATCCTTGCATCCATACCAGCAAAATATCCTTCCTTTACAGACTCATCCTTTGATGAAAAATATTCTGCTCTAGGAAACCAATAAGCCATTGCAACTCTCATCCCTTTACCTGTTCATCATTTTGAAAGAAAAAGAAAATACTGCTCTAGAAAACCAATAACTCATTGCAAAGAGGACATACTCCGACAGCAAAACCAATCTCATTGCAAAATGTGGGACACACTCCAAAAGCAACTATAACTGTATGATTAACATATCTATCTAACTCTCAACTCTTCGCAAAACATGCATTTAAAAAAAAAAAAAAAGCAATCAAGGATGTCAAGCACCAGCCTATCCTCGAAGGTAGCAATCTTCCATTTTAATTAGCTGGTTATCTTTTAACTTCAACTTATATTGATCTGCAGAAACCAACCCCTAAAACACAAGCTTGCTTATTATGATTCACCCAATTTCATGGATCGTCCATGCTAATTCCCCATAAATCCCCCTAAATCTCACCATCATCTATCCCATAAATTTCTTTGAAATTACATATCAAAATCTCGGAAACAAAACCCATAACAAAGCTATTACCTGGTGAATCATCCAAATCCCCTAATGCCAAATTACTAATATATATATATATATAAGAACAAACTACCTGAACCTCATATCTATTAAAACCCACAATTCTTCCTTTCAATCAAGCAAATGAAAATGATCGAAGGCAAAGGGAAAAAAGCCAAAACTTTCCATTCCCATTTCTCAATTACCAGACCACAACCAAAAACAAACAGAGCAATCGTATCACAAAAATCCCATTACCCATATACCAAAAAACACAAGCTTCTCCAATTCTACAAACAAGACAATCATACCACAAACATGCCTAAACCCAAATTTTAGTTTACCAATTCTACAAAGAAATAAGCATATCCCAAGATACCCACATACCAAAAACCAAATTTCCCTTTTTTTCCAAATCTACAAACAAATAACAAGAAAACCCAGCAACCAAAACCCAAAAAGTTTTCAACTTTATTAATTACCTGAACAGAATACTTAACAGCAAGACTGGCAACAGAATCCCCTTTAGCAATCTTATGAGAAATAGCAAACTTAGAAATCCCACTATCTCTCCAAAATCTTCGAGACACAGGCTTCCCCACTATTTCCTTCAACTTCCATGGTTCCATAAAAGCAGGTCTCACAATCTCATCATCGGAAGCCATGTCTCTCCACAGCTTGCAAACACAGCTAGCACGTGCCAAGTCCCGAGCTCCAAGCTTTCGTAAGATCATAATTAGTGTATCCCTGCATGTGAAGGCTTCGAGTGCCACGCGAGAGTCCATTTTTTCGGTGTTGAGGGGTGAATCGAGAGAGGGAGAGATGGGAGCGGCCTTGTGTTTGGGACAAGAGTAGTAATAGAAGAGAGAATCTTCCTCTTTGATTGCTATTGGTTTGTCTATGGGAATTGGATTTTTCTTCTTGGTGGTTGCTGTGGTGGTTGTTTTGGTGTTGGTGCTGGTGTTAGTGATAGTGGTACTGGTAATTGTGCTTTGATTGCCCCTAGGATTAGAAGAGGGAGATGCAGAGGGAGAAATGGGGGTTTCTTTTTGGGAAGAGGATAATAGTAGAAAAGAGAATTCGCATCGTCCATCAGTCAAAACTACAGTTTGATTAGCTTGGTGTGCGATGCTATTTTTATATGTTTGGCACGTGAGGCTGGCATTTAGGGTCAGGGTTCTACATGTGATATGATGACATAATCAGGAAAGTGAAAAAAATGGGATGAAAATTTTGCTTTTGTATCAGATGCAAAGCATTTCACAGAAATCAGTACATAATTGGTGCATTGCTTGGGTGTCTCTTTGACTTTGACTAGCAATCCTTTTTGAGAAAAATAGCGCTGACCATTGCAAAATTTGAACTTGATGTTACAGACAAGAAAGGTCCACAAATCACAAGAAGATTTACTATTAGAATCTCCTGCCATGGTTGAAAGGATCGTATGCATCAAGGTATAATAATATCAGGAAAGTACAGAGACCGGCTAATAACGGGTAACTTCATACTTCAATCCAAGCATGGGTTGTCACAACTACTGTCTACTGACTCAAAAAAGAAGAAAACAAATCAACTGCCCCATCCATGACCAAGCCCATATGCATCCATGTAACCAGCTCCATGAATATGCGCATGACCATCATGAGGGCCGTGACCACCATGACCATGGTGATGGTGGTGATGATGATCATCCTTTGCTTCATCGAGCATTTTCTGTATATGCTCCGGGATCGGTTCTTCGTCAGCTTGCCTAACTGATTTTGGCAAGGAGGAAACAAATTTAACAACATTCTCAGCTAGCTCATCAGCAGCGTTTTCCTGAGATCACCAAAACAAATTCAAAAATAGACTTAGAATACAAGGAATTCATCACTTACGCTGGTGACAGTAGAAAGAACAGAAACTCAAGTGTATGATTTTATGAATTATGTTCCTTATAAAATGCTATTTACTGCTGTGCCTCTATGGAAAGATTGGGTAAATCTTATAGAAGACCTGATTTGTCTTATGGCTATCTATGGATGTTAAGGTTTACGTTGGCTGTAGAAATGACGGGGGACAAATTCCCAATTTGCAATCAGCTCATATAATTGGGAGGATGGTTTCAACGAGGCAAATAAATTGCTGTTAATTTACCAATTAGGGATGAGATGATTCAAGAACAACAGATAAGCAACATTTAGAACCCAAAATCAAATCATCACAACAAATATTCTTCAGTTCTAATTGGTTTGTGATGCAATCTGTTAATGAAATAATAGGAAGTAGTCACTGTTCATCAAAGTCCACTCCAAACCAATACATCAATCAGTAGATCACAGTACGAACTAAATGCAGGCATCTCTAGAAACTACCAGTAATGCTCAACTACACTCTACTTCAACCTGTACCATCAACAGCCAAAAAATTACCTCATAAGATACACTTTGTATAGCTCTCTGTCAAACTATTCAAGGTATAAGATCAAGCAAGCAAGTATTACCTTATGTTGCTAGGTGAAAAACTTATTAAAAGCAACCATTCTCATATCATTCCCTCCATTACACGCATTTCTCCAGACAAGAGAGTTACATATTGTTCTCCCCAGGTCACATGTGATAGGTTCAAGGTCTTCGGTAGAAGAGGAACAAAAATGAGTTAAATTGCAGGTTCAGAACAACAAAGGGAAATTGAGAAGACGGATAAAGGAGGCTTTGGGTTATTTGTGATTTTCTCTTATGAGTCAAAACACTGTACTTATGGGCATGCAGACATCCAGATAAATTCCAATTCCTCAACAAATAATATGATCGACAAACTCTTTTCTAAGACCTATGAGGTTATGTTTATTGAAAATTTTGTTGGAAGAACATCCAAAATTTGCAACCAGCTAATTGAAATGGGAGGAAATTTTTGACAAAGCAGACAATTTGCTATTTTCATCAATTAGGGACAAAGTGGCTTAAGGACAAATATAAATAACATAAAGAAAATGGATCAAATCATTCAAAAAAATGTTTAGAACCAGGAAAAGGTTTGTGAAATATAGGCAAGCAGTCATTGTTCATTGAAGCTGGCTCCAAACATGTTGTATATGTCAGTCAGTAGTTAGATTATTTGAACCTAATTGTAGGGATCTTCTAAGATCTAACATTGTCCAGTTATCAAAGTGTTAACTAACCTCAACTTCAAACTGTACTAAATGGTTACAGATGATTCAAGAATTAGTTATTACCTTATGCACACAGTTATATGTTGTTCATTCTAGCTCTATCACACTAATCAAGATCTAAGATCAGCCATTGGTCTATACATTCACACAAACCATTTTCAGAATCTTTTCACCAAGCATGATATAATATACAAACACATCCATATGTAAACTAAAATTTGAAATTCCTGCTCTCACAAATCACCATACACAATTAAAAGCGTACAATACAGTAGACAGCAAGAATACTCACCTGAGGCCACCGCCCACCAGAGTGAGTGACGAATTTAGCCTGTGGAAGCGCATCAGCTACCTTACGTCCCTCCTCGCTCCATTCTTTTGACCAACCACCAGACCAAATCACCTGCACTGGGATTCCCTTTATCCCATCCAAACGACCCCATTCTGCAATATCAAAACTTGAATTCAATTTCTTTCCGGTAGCCACAATAGCTCTCCCCCCATCCCTCCCATTCAACATCATTCTATGAGCCTCCACGTCCGAACCACCCACCCCCTTGAGCAACACATTCTAATCAACCTTTCGTACAAAAAATTAACCCCCAAAACAACCTCTCTGACCACTGGCACTTCCAAAGCACACAATGGCAAAGCTGGTCTCAACCCTGTATCAACAAGAGTCACACTTCTAACCGATCCTGAATTCTTCAACACCCAATTTGCCACCATTCCTAAACTTGAATCATGCAAAACCAAATGCACAGGAGCTAACCCCAATGTCTCAATCACTTGCCCTAAAACCCTGCCCATCTCCTCACTACCCAACACAATAGGCCTAGCAACACTCCTTTTTTCATTGTAATGGGACATAATATCCTCATAGGGAATCTGCCCAGTTTCAACCATGTTATCAAAAACCCAAAAGATACCCTTTTCTTTAATGAGAGCATAGGCATCCTTAAACCTCTCGAAAACCCCAGTTCCTCTCTCTTCAATAGCTTCCACAAACTTATCAGAAAACCCATTTCCAGGCAAATCAAACACAACCCCATGAACCCCTTTTAAACCCAAAAAGTCTAAAACTTTCCTAAACGAAAATGAACTTAGACCCAACCCATGAACAATCACAACTTTTTCACTCACAGAATCTTTTTTACCACTCTCTAATACAAAAACCTCACTTGATGGCTGGTTTTGTGCCAATTGAACTTTAATTGTACGCCCTTTTGAGTAGTGTTGGCGTAGAGGAGTAGATAGGGAAAGAAAGAAAGTTTTGGGGTCTGGATTTGAAGAAAGAGAGGACAAACCAATAGCTAAAAGAGTGATAAGCGAGACTGAGATAGTGAAATAGAACCAGAAAACAAAAGGGTTGTTTTGTGTGCGTGTTTGTGTTTGTGTTTGTGTTTGTGGTTTTGTTTGTGTCTTTGGCTTTGGTTTTGGCTTTCGTTTTGGATCTTTAGAAGGTGAAGTTGGTTCCTCTGTTGGTTCTTGGTCATTTTGAGGTTGTATTTCTGGTTCCTCTGTGATTATTGCCATTTTTGAGAGACGAGAAGAGATCTATCGATCGAAAACTGCAAGTTATACTTCAAAAAGTAAACAAGGGAAGAATGTTAAGTCATCGAAATTTGAAAAAAAAAATGGCTGTAATTACAGTTCAGTCTTCTATGTATGATAAATATTTCAAATTAATCATCCAACTAAAATTTCTTGTAATTGTACTATCAGACTATAATTGTTCCGTTAATTTAATCGTTTGATTGGCTTACAAAAAGGATAATGGAATCTATGAATTTTCATGGCCTAGTTTATTATTAACTCATGTACCAAAATTTTATTTATAATACAATATTTCATGTCATAGTATATTTTTAAGGTTTTTTGTTTCCCTTATAAACTAAATTTCATATAAAAAATTTCGCGAGAAAAAATGAAAATGAAAGGATAGAAAACGAGATGATAAAAACATATTGTCACCATTGGAAATTATAAAATAACTTAATATATTTCTATCTTTCATTCCAAAACCATTCTATATATTTAAAAAATATATATTGTTGTTAGATTCAATTAGATTCAAAAAATTGACATATCTTATTCAATTATAGTATAATTTACGGTTCTTTTCCGAAAGAATTGTGATATTACATTCATCTTTATTTTAATGGTTAAACTATTCCTAATAAAATTCGTGATTAAATCTTTTTTTTTTCAAATTGTAAATAAATCATTTATATATAAACTAGTGTGTATATAAAAAAAAAAAAACTTTTTTATAGCCTTGGATTTTTTTAGTTAATGCAAATGGTTGAATTTACAGTGGCATATTTTATGACCTAAAAGAACACAATTTATTATATCACTAACAATTATAGAATAATAATATTGATAAACTACATCACAAAACCCACTAAATATTAATAGTACTATGTCATTAAAGTTTTTACGTCACTACATCTTGTGTATGCTCGATATTTTAATTAATTAAATTAGGTAATTTTTATTTTGTATTAATTTATGTATTATTTTATTATTATTTTGACATAGATCCGAATTGCATGACAATTGTATTAAATTAAGAATGGACCTAACTCAACACGAGATCTTAAGTTGTAAGAATGAACACAAGTATTTTATGAACACAAGTAGTTTAAGAGGACCAATGTCCATGTCTTGTTATTAAGATGCATCAAGAAGATTGGTTTGATGGACTCAAAATAAGATTTGTTAAAGGAAGAATCAATTATTACTTTCTTTAAGCCTCCGTTAGCAAGTTGAAGTAGTTAAATGTAAAGAACCTAAATCTTTTTAAACCAAAATTGAGGGTTCTAAACTTGAACGATATGGCAAGATCCTTTTAGCGAGTTAAGGGTCGTCTTCTTTCACTATAAATACTAATATTGTATCATTATAAAGAGATTCGAACTTTTGCATCATAAAACTTTGGATTTTAGAACTTTCAATTCTTAACAAAATAATAATAATAATAACACCTAAACTCTCAATTTTAAAACTCTCCAACTCCATAAATCAGATGACATTTAAAATCTTAATTGTTTGAAATTTGACTATCTATCTGTTAGCCACTTAACTTGCGCCTTACTAGCATGACCTACTTCTCATTCCACGTTTCTAACTATTTATATCCTTTCTACTTTGTTGATTGATTATTAGTTTTACAAGTCATAACACCAACTCTCTATATTTTTATTGATTTGTCATCCAATCGTTTAATTAGTTATGAATAACCTTTCTCTATCGCATCTATATTTAATAATTTTTATGCATCAATCTCTTTAAAGCTCATTTTACACTCACTCAATTGATAATTAGATGCTTAGCATCAAAAGAAAACTACTTAATTATAAAAATATGTTGAAAAGAAAAAAACAAAGAAAGAAACGTTATACATGCACGTAACAAGAGATTGTAAAATGCATGTATGTGTATATAGTAACCAATAAAAACTTTATACCAAGAGTCAAAAATACCAAACGGTGCAGCCCCTTTTTTTAAATCAAAATATATAGTTTATTTAGTACGGGTAACGGTGGGAAATCATTAAATGACATATCCATACAATTATTTGTCAAGGTTCAAGTTTTGATATTGAGACAGTGTTGCATTTTAAACGTAAATTGTAGTCTTCTCATGTCTTACAAAAAAATGAGAATAAACGATTCTGTTCATTTTTCCAAATGGAACGTGGAAGGAGGACTAAAATGTCAAAAATGTGATCAACAGGTATCATAATGGAACGAATCTATAGTTTAAGGACTGATTTGTAGTTAACCCAAAAATCCTAAACAGCCTGTCGTTTATGTAGTGTCATCATGTTTTTCCTGGAAAAAGGAGTGAACTTTATTGCTCTTTACAGGAAGAAAAAGGAAAAAAGAAAAAACGTTATCTTTCCCTTCATTCTCCCTCCTAAAGCACACTTTGTTGAGCTTCTCTAACATGCACTCAGTCCCATCACCAGCAGTAATGCATCCACTCTCGCTCGCAGCTTCTTCTCGCTTTCTCTCTCACAAACTTCTATTTCCAAATTCCTTTTTGTCAAATTTCAAAACAACCCACCAAAGATTTCACGCAAATTTCACTAAAATCCCTATCTTTATAAGAAATTGCACTAGTCCTCCTGTCTCTGCAAAACCATCTTCACAAGTTAGATGGAACCGTACCAAAAAGTCCGAACCGGATGAGAAGCTTCAAGCACTACGTGAGTTGTTTACCAACCCTGGGATTGGTATTGATGCTTACATTATACCTTCTCAGGATGCTCACCAAGTAAGGCTTTTTTTCAAACCTTTTATTTGGATTTCTGTTTTTGGTGTTTTGGAAGTTAGAATTCAATTGGGTTTTGGCCGGCTTTATGCATTTGTATTGGTTTTTGAATGTTATAGCGATTTGAAGCTGTAGCGGTGCATGTTGTGGAATTTATGACATGTTGCTAAAGTTTAGTTTTTTTTTTCCCTATCATTGTCTGGAAACAAACGGTGCTTTCTGGTGTTTTTAGTTGCAAAATTGGGAGTTTCTTTTTGAGAAATGGATAAGCTATTTTTGTTGGTTTGTTGAATTATGATAGTTCAGCTTATTAATCACTCGAGTGTTAGCTAATTTTGTGTTATTTTTAAGATTATTAACGAATTATTGATACTATAGTACATGCCTTTGCTGGATATTCTTAAGTTATGGTTGTCCGGCTTGTCCATTACTAGTATATCATTTAGGCTTCTTTATTACTTCTAATTAACCTTTCCTCTTATGATTGCTAGAGTGAATTCATTGCTGAATGCTATATGCGGAGGGCGTATATATCAGGGTTCACTGGTAGTGCTGGCACTGCTGTTGTCACAAAGGAGAAGGCAGCACTTTGGACAGATGGTCGATATTTTCTCCAGGTTTGAAAGAATATACTATGGACCTCACCGCACGCACCCACCCAACCCCCAAACCAAAACAAAAAAGTTTATTTTAATTAAAATGGAGTTTGTGGTTCCAACTGGAGATAGAGTGCAGTAGTTTTAAATTTTCTTTTCCGTTTATGATTAGGCTGAGAAGCAATTGAATTCTAATTGGATTCTCATGCGGGCTGGTAATCCTGGAGTCCCTACAACAAGTGAATGGCTTAATGATGTTTTGGTTCCTGGGGCAAGAGTTGCCATTGATCCTGTGAGCAATTTCTTTACTTCTTAAATACAAATGCCCTTCATTTCTTGTACTTATGTTTCTGGAGTAAATTTACATTGAAGTTTTGATATTGATTACTTGAACATAATCCATTGGTTTTAAGCACATGCTGAATCATTCACTGTCTTTTTCCTGTTTCTGTATGAGAGCATGTGCAGGATTTTGCTTCCAAACTTTTTTCTTTTTGTTGGAATCATTTATTGGTTTCCAAATGTTAATTGTTCTAATCATTCCTTACACCCAATTTCTTTGTCTCTGTCCATCAGTTTAGTTATGATATGCATTAACAACTAGGTCGGTAAATGATACAATAAGCACCCTTCCCTTGGGAGGAATTAAGAAAAACAGAATACTATGGTGGCTCTGTTGCTTTATTTCATCGGTGATTTAGCAATCCCAAAGTTTCTTTTATTTCCAAATAAAAAAATGAAAAAAGAATAGAATCTCTTCTACTTCTTTTTTTTTTTAATCGTTATTCAACCTTGTCAATGTATGATGCCATGTCTTTGACTTTATGAAGGAAGCAGTTTCTTTTCTCTTTTGATGCTGCTGAGGAATTGAAAGAAGCTATAGCTAAGAAAAATCACCAATTGGTTTACTTGTACAATTCAAATCTCGTGGATGAAACATGGAAGGGATCAAGGCCAATGCCTCCAAACAAACCAATAAGAGTACATGAACTAAAATATGCTGGCGTAGATGTTGCATCAAAGTTGTCTTTTCTGAGGTCTGAGCTCCTTGATGCGGGTTCATCTGCAATCATTATTTCCATGCTTGATGAAATTGCCTGGCTGCTGAACTTGGTAATACCTCTGCCCCTTGTTTTGTGGACACATTCTCTTAAACATTGCAGAAGCAGAGGTGCTTGCAAACCTTATCTTTACATTACTGTAATTTTTGCTACTTCAAAACTAATCCAAAACGATGGCAGTGCCATTGTATTCTGGAATTTTTATCAATTTGCCAAACTTCCACAAAGCAAGAATATAATTTTAAGTTAGTCATTCAATTATATGTCCTACTTCTATACTTGATATATCTAAATGTTGATCTGTTTATCTATTTATTCTGCAGAGAGGGGGCGATATTCCTCATTCACCTGTTATGTATGCATACTTAATTGTAGAGGTTGATGGAGCGAAATTATTTGTAGATAACTCTAAAGTCACACCAGAAGTGTTGAATCATTTGAAGAATGCAGATGTTGAATTGAAGCCATATGACACCATCCTTTCGGAGATAGAAAGGTAAATTCCATAGCCTTTTTCTTTCCAGCAGCACTGGAAACATTCCATGTAAAATTGCTGGATATTATTAGGAAGTTACTCTCTACATTCATGTTGAAAGAA